CTATGATACGGTCTAAATCCTGACTGGAAATCCTCACAGATACCATTTTTCTCTAAGAAGGAATATAATTGTGAGGATACTACCTTTTCTAGTATCTTGGACAGAAAAGGAAGATTCGAGATCGGTCTGTAATTAACTAGTTCTTTGGGGTCAAGTTGTGGTTTTTTGATGAGAGGCTTAATAACAGCCAGTTTGAAGGTTTTGGGGACATTTCCTAATGACAATGATGAATTAATAATAGCCAGGAGAGGATCTATGACTTCTGGAAACACCTCTTTTAGGAGTTTAGATGGAATAGGGTCTAACATACATGTTGTTGGTTTAGATGATTTAACAAGTTTATACAAATCTTCCTCTCCTATAGTACAGAATGAGTGGAATTTTTCCTCAGGCGATCTATAGCACACTATCTGATGCGGTACTGTAGCTGACGGCTGCATGGTTACAATTTTATCTCTAATAGTATCGATCTTGGAAGTAAAGTAGTTCATAAAATCATTACTACTGTGTTGTTGGGAAATGTCTGCACCTGCTGATGTTATATTTTTTGTTAATTTAGCCACTGTATTGAATAAATAAATCTAGAGTATGATTTCGACAGTGAGTAGGGCCTGAGACGTTTTGTCTAACCTCAATAGAGTTCAGAATGTCTATGAATGCTGATCCCAATGCATTTTTTTCATTATCAACATGGATATTAAAATCACCAACAATTAAGCCTTTTTCTATCAGAGTTAGTGCCGTCTGCAGATAATCAACAAATTCTTTAATACAGTCTGTATGGTGCCCTGGTGGCCTGTATACAGTAGCCAGTACAAACATCACAGGGGATCTATCATTAACATGTGCTTCTCTGGATAATGTTATATGAAGCATCATTACTTCAAACGAGTTATACTTGAAGCCCGCCCTCTGAGAAATACTGAAAATATTGTTATAAATTGTAGCAACACCTCCCCCTTTAACTTTTGGACGTGGCTCATGTTTATAACAGTATTCTTGGGGGGTAGATTCATTTAAAATAATGTAATCATCAGGTTTTAGCCAGGTTTCTGTCAAACAGAGCACATCTAGGTTATGATCAGTGATCATATCATTTACAAAAAGTGCTTTCGTAGAAAGGGACCTGATATTCAATAAGCCAAGCTTAATCATTTGTTTATCCGTATTACATCTGTTTTTTATTTGTTGAACATCAATTAAATTGTTACGTTTTTTGTATTTTCTAGTTCGGGGAACAGACACACAGTCTCTATAGTGTGATATCTAGGTGAAAGAGTTTCTATGTGCTGAGAATTAACTGATTTCTGTGACATGAAGCGGCTAGCAGACGGTCTGTTTAGCCAGTCTGTCTGCTTCCTAACCTGGGCTCCAGTTAGTCAAGTACAAACTCTAAGACTATGTGCCATATTTCTATGGAAATTTGGAAATTTAATCCATGACCATGGCGTTGCTAGTGCCATGTTCTGCTGTTTGAGCTATTGTTTGATCCCGGGGGTCCATTCTTTGAACGTGGATTACTCAATTAGCTGGATTTTATTGTTGGTGATTTGACATGATCAAGGATTACGTTTTTTGAAGGTCATCCTAGAGTTTCTGTCATAGCAACAGGACCGTTAGCTCAAACCTGCCCGGGAGCAGGCTTATTTCACGTAAAGATTAGATTGTATCATTTTAAGTGAAGGTGATACTGAAAGTGTCTCCCAGCCACTGCTATTTTCTTACATGTGTACCTTATTAAACCAGGAAAAATAATTTAAAAAGATAATTTTGAAATTATTTTGAAAATAATAAAAATGTTGCATAATCTATGCCATAATCTTTTATTGCAGTCATACAGACATTACACATATAGTTTGTCTGGGTCGTGCATTAATTTGAACGGTGAGCTTTTATGCAGGTGCATCGCAGGAGATGCAGTCTCACTTCTCAAATCTCAAAATGCTTTTATGATGCAAAATTAATTTAAACAGTCAGTTACAGTATGTCCTAAAATAGATCATATGGATTAAGAAACTTAAATGCTGTCATGTATAACAAATCCTCTTACAATTACAATATATGGAAAAATTTATAAATTCTGGAAATGGGGAAAAATTATTTGGAATTGCTTAAAAAAATGGTTACACGTTTTATTTATGTATCAGAACATTTGTCATTTTGCTAGCTAGGTGGTTTCGTTGATCTTAATTATATGATGTCATTACTTTGCTGTCTCGCTGCCAGCCAATTGACCTATTGGTAAGCCCCTCCCCTCGAATGCAGATGAGCCAATGGCAGTCGAGTATCAGTTGCACGTGGAGCAGAACTCGGACATCTGTAGGTTTCAGCACCATAGAGAAACATTAGAAGATCCGAAGCTTTCATCGGTTTGATGGTGTTTATGCAACGAAAATGGAAAAACGATGTGCCTGTGATGCTTGTAACCAGTGGTGTAATGTAACAAAGTAATAATACTTCGTTACTAGACGGCAAAAATGCTTCTGTATGCTTTTTATATTTATATAATTTAATATAGTTAACTTAATCTATATCACACAAAGAGTATGGTTTTTCTGCAGATATCAGCATGAACACATTTAATAATCAGTTTATACAGGTTCAGTAAAGCAATAAGTGACTTAGATTTTAGACATATTGCTTGTTTTTGCTCAATTTTGCTAACAAAAATAGTTCCAAACAAAGATCACAGCACTGTTTTGCGTCTCTGAGCAATGGACGGTGTTTACTTATTGAATGAATCAGCTTTTTGAATGAATCGTTGAATAAATGCTTCAGTGATTCACTCATTAATACAGTCAAATGCTTTGTTTCTGAATGAATCAGCCGTTTGAATGAATCTGTTGAATCTCTATGACTCACTCATTAACAGTCACTTGCTGCCACCTACTGGTGGTTTTAATTTCACATTTTGACTATTTTTTTCATGTTTTAAATTATTTCAAATATCAGTATTCAATGTTGTATGTTAAAATCAAAACATTGGGCCTATTTATGCATCTGTAACTGCAGTTTAAATGCATCCATGTCCCCTCTGAGATACATGAACTGTGTAAATACATCTAAATCCTATTTCAGATGCAGATTACAGAAATGTTTTCTTATGTTGGAATGAAAGACACTAAGTATCGGATGAAGTGCTGCTTATACTTACCCAAAAATACAAAATGGAAGAAAGAGTTAAAACTAAACACAATCTTGCTATTCAAGCTGTGTATGAACATTTTTATATATATTTATTTGCTTCTTTTCCATTTTGCATTTACTTGTACTTGTACTTAAGTATTGAAAGTAAGTTTAAGATTAAAAAAAGTACTTTTCGTACTTAAGTACAATAAATATCACATACTTTAAGACTTTTACTCAAGTAATATTCTAAACGGTGACTTCAACTTCTATCAAAGTAATTTTATGGTAAGATATCTGTATTTTACTTGAGTATGGCTTTCAGGTACTTTATACACCACTGCTTGTAACACTGATTCCAAGTATCCTGAGAGGATGGGCAATAGAATTTATTTTATTGCATTTCCTAAACCCAAACAAAACAGAGCAAAATGTCTCTAAACATTCAACCCCAGTCCCAATGAAGACAAAAACGTTCATGTTCTGGTTGTCGTACGCTCATTAAGTTACAATTGTCATCTGCTCAAGCAGAACGTTAATGTCATCTTGCGTTTCAGCAAGGTATCGCTGGCTAAAACCAACATTAAAGTTATTGAGTCAATGCTATTACAAAGCTAAATCGCGAACTGTTCTCACATCATGTACAGTGTAAGTCAAAAACACATAAACGAAGGTCTACATTTCAGTGCCTCTCCATATTAAACTGGTTAAATGTACATTATTTTAATCGTACGTACCCTGTGGTACATGAACAGAGTTGAATCCTGCATGTTGTCATCCGCGATCGTGACAACTGTAATATGAGACATCTCCCTCTTGCATTGTGATCTGTAAACCCTTGCTTTGAGTTACCCACCGTATTTATTTTAAAATCTTTTATATATATCCCTCCATGGAATATTTAATTCCTACTTGAATGGTGGCCCTTCTGTGTCCAAAATTGTGCAAAAACATTGTGGGAGAAGGTTTTCACACTGACAGCTGTCATTGTAAGACAGTGAGCAACTCCGTTTGTTTGTCCGAGGGAGCAACAGTAACTAAGGGGGGCAGGGCTTACCGATAGGTCAATTGCTGCATTGCTGATCATGGTTTCGAGTATAGATATATCTGCCCTTTCCAATGAACATGTAAACGTGGAGTAATTTCAGACAACTTAATACAGATATTTTTATCAAATCCACTAACTTGTTTGAAGAACCAAATTAGCCAGAGATCAGTTATCAGGATTAAAAGAACTGACATTTGTCAAATCATGTATTAAGGTGTATTAAGCGAGGTATGAAGAACTGACCCCTGAATGTGTTATGATTATTGGAATTTCATTGTCATTAGTTTAGAGTGATTTTCAATTGTGCAATTAAATCAAATGACTTGGTCCAACAGAACGAGAGTGCAGGGATTGCTGCCACCATTGATGCGATGACTTCAGGCAGTCCTTCAGCTCTGGAGGTACACACAGGGTGTTCTGCTAGTGGCCCACCAGTGGTATGTATTCAGTGTTGGGTGTTACTGTAATTAAAGGGGTCATATGACATTGCTAAAAAAGAACATTATTTGGTGTATTTGGTGTAATGAAATGTGTTTATGCGGTTTAAGGTTAAAAAAACACATTATTTTCCACATACTGTGCATTATTGTTTCTCCTCTATGCCCCGCCTTTCTGAAACAAGTCGATTTTTACAAAGCTAATCGGTCTGAAAAGCGAGGTGTGCTCTGATTGGCCAGCTATCCAGTGCGTTGTGATTGGCCGAATACCTCAAGTGTGTGACGGAAATGTTACACCCCTTACCATATAGTGGTGCCGAGTCCCAGAGCGACGAGATTAAAACCCATTATAAACGAGGCATTTGTTGCATCCAGTGGGGACATAATTACTGATTATAATGACTTATACTGTCTTTTTACACGTTGCGTTGCATCGCGCCACGTAAACATAAAACCATGTCTGCATTTGTGATCGGAGAAACGACAAACAAGCGCTACTCTAAACTGCTCAAAACTCGCGTTTGAATCATCAGTGGCAAATTCTTTAAATATGAAAATGTACTTACAGCAACAAAGTTACGCCTTCTTTCTTTGCGTGAACATTTGGCGCGGCATTATGCATATCTTCCCACACAGTGACGTAGACATGTGGGGGCATGTAGCACCAAGAGCTTGTAACACTCCAAAGAGAAAGGAAAACTTGAAATCGCATCATATAACCCCTTTAAATTACTTATCCACTGTAAAAGTAAAGTAAAGGATTACTGTTCATTTTTAGGTAATTTAATTACAGTTACTTAAGTACTTGAGTTACATACTGTAAATAATTTAAACAGTTCTAAAATCAATATTGAACTTATTCTAAATCTGGGTCTACTTTTATTTGTGTACACTGACAATAACAACAAAACATTGTGCCTTTGTAAAATAAACACAGGGTTTCCGCGGGTTCTTAAAGTCTTAAAAAGTCTCAAATTTAGTTGTATTAAATTTAAGGCCTTAAAGTCTTAAATTGTACAAGGTCTTAATTATGATTTCAAGAGGTCTTAAATTTGGATATGGAAAGACCAGAATTGCGATATGGCTGAATGTGACGATTAAACTTCAAAAGGCTATGACTTCATTGAATAAACACGAGCGCTGCACGTTCAAAGTCCGGTGCTGCGCTGCTTTGTGTACAGCAGTTACCGGGGAAATGGTTATATTTCTACCAGACGCTCCACCTGCTGTCAGAGAATGAATGAGCATGTTCAATAAAACTGTTGTTTTGTTCAGAGTAGGGCTGCTCGATTATGGCAAAAATCATAATCACGATTATTTTGGTCAATATTGTTATCACGATTATTTAACACTATTATGAGGGGGCCATATGACCAAAACTTTGAGTGATTTATTTAAAGATAGTGATATATATCAAATATATATTTCCTGTAAATAAGGTTGCTATGACATATACATTGTAGAGACCAGCGGAATTTCAAACAAAGAAACAAAAAGTCCTCAAAATTATTGAAAATAATTAAACCGTCAGTAATAAAAAAGCAAAGGACAAATACAATAGAATAAAAAGATACAAATGAAGCAAACTGTGCTTTAATGTTTTTTTTTTAATGCAAGTCTCAAGCAGTTTACAGCCTACTACAGAAATTAATAATCAAATGTAAAATAAAACAGCATAGTCTTCACTGTAAGAATTAAACATTCTTTGTTTCTTATTAAAGCTACAAAAGTCCTTCATTCAAGAGCAGTGTGTGATTTTGAATTTGTATTTTGTTTGATTAATATTAAGCTCACAGTTGCAGCAGGAAAATAGCCCGCTGTCACTTTAAGAGCCGCACGGATCCAATTTACCATTACACGCGTATTTTCATTCTCAACTCTTTACGTTCATTTATTACATGACCGACGAAGGTATACATGAATAATCACTAAGCGTCGCATTTTGACGCATTTTTGCGTGTATTTGACCGTTTAAAAGCGCGCACCTTGAGCTAAAAAATGACTTTACATGTCCGTGTTGTGTTCCGTCTCTGAGCGCTCACGTTACATGATTTTACTGATTTGCACGTGAAATTGGGCTTTTATGGAGGAACGAACACGCAGCGCTGGAAAAGGGGGCGGAATGGGGCACAATAATCGTTTTATCTCGATTATTGTATTTTCATAATCGTTGGAGGCCAAAATCTAAATTGAAACTGTTTTTCGATTAATTGCACAGCCCTAGTTCAGAGTTCAGACCAATGCGAAAATCGACCCATGTTTTTACCCTGCAAACACGCAGAGCTTTAAATGTGAACTGGTGGATCGATAAGAAGACAATGCATTATAAAAATCTAAACATAGGGGTGTGCGAGATGTATGGTCTGCGATAATATCGTAATTGTTGTTTTAACGATGTGCGATTTGATATTATGAGTATATCGCGAAAAGCAAACAAAACACCTACAGAGTGTGCGCATACATTAGGTGATGAAGTCTAGCAGGTTAGACTAGTGCGCATGTGCATTTAGAGTGCGTTCTTTCACTGCATGAATCAGTCTATTAAAATGCATTTAGAATTATCACATAATCTAAGATATGGACAGAAAATGTATATATTTATATCATTTGATATAGTTAATATCACACGAAGAGTGCCGTTTTTTTTCTCCAAAAGTAAGCAGGATTACAAATGTGATATTGATTTTATACAACAGTTCAATAAACAAGTAGTAAAAAAAAGTAAGCAAGATTACAAATGTGATATTGATTTTATACAACAGTTCAATAAACAAGTAGTAAATAGTAAGAGACTTACGTTTTAGACACCATATTTCCTGTTTTTGCAATATTTCTCCAACAAAAATAATTCTAAGCACAGCCACAGCGCTGTTTTGCGTCTCTGAGCAACATGACTTGTTTTGTTCCTGAATGAATCAACCGTTTAAATTTGGTTCAATCGCAATGACTCACTTAACATTGACTTGCTGCCACCTACTGGCGGTTTTAATTTCACATTTAAGGTACCTTTTCATTTTTTTAATAATTTTAAACATCAGCTTTCAATGTTTTATGTTTAAAATATCAAAACATTACTTATGCATTTGTAACTGCAGGTTAAAGTATTTAATGTCCCTCAGAGCTACATTAAACAGTGTGTAAATGCTTCGAAATGCCACTTCTAATGCAGCTTCTGTGTTTCCTCTGCATTGCAAAGATCAATTTAGTTGATACTGATTTCATTTGCTTGGTAACAACCCAAATGCAAGAATTTGACTCAAAAGATGGTGCACACTTTTAGAAAAAATGCCCATAAAACTTGTTGGAAATTATTAATTTCTACTACTGCTGTAAACTGACCACACAGAATATGAAGAATATCAAATAATTCAGGAGTCAGCTGTCAGCACAATAACACACTCAGCAAAATATCATCTAATTATCGTTATTGATAAAATCCCAGAAAATTATCGATATATCATTTTTTGTCAATATCGCATACCCCTAATTTGTTATTTAATTGATATAATAATTAATTGATAATAATTGTTTAAATTACTATAATTAATACTTTTGACTCATCCATTTTCTCTGTTGATTAGGGATGGAAAGTTCTACCAAATTGTAAGGACAAAGACAAAAAGGGTCACTGTATGGTATGCAATATGATATCAACGAGGAAAAAAATTATTTGTGATGTTTTTCCTGCTTAAAATTGGACACTATTACAGTATCAATAAACATTTTCATAATTTTTAAATGTATGTATTTATTAAAAGTTGGTTGCCTCAAGGCAACATTGTACCAGAATGGACAAATTGAAACATTTGACAAATAAATATATTTATTGAAAACATAAATTTATTTAACCAAACACTTGAACATCCAGATTTATCTAATTTTTTATGTATTACACATCTCATATTTAATAAAAATTAACATTTCATATCCAGCTGTTGCTTTTAGGCAACATTGTACCATCGTGGATCACGAATATAACCAAACCATCATATCAAGTTATCATGTCAAAATATTACAATGAATGTTGTTTCAAGGTAAAACATTCAAAATCACAATAACCTTATCCCAATATGCACCTTATCCTTGCAAGCATGCACATACACACACAAGGACCTGCGTGTGCACAAGCACATGGCATCTGACTGCTTGTGAAAGTTGAGGAAGCAATTAAAATCATAATGTGCAGATATAGGGTGTAAATTACCATTCTTATAAATGCATAACAAAATCAAGCAAAAATTCAAATAGATTTAGATAATAGCTCTTTTCTAGCTCTTTTTCTTACATTATATCATATACTTGTATTATAACCTAGGATGCCTGCATGGCCTTATGCCATTCCATTGCAGTACAATGTTGCCTCAAGGCAACATGCAGTTTTTTGTAATTTCCTGTGATACATTTTATGATATATTATGTAGTTTTTCAAAATACTTCTTTACTTACCAGTGAAGGTGTCTCAGATTTTTTGTAGGCAATTATATGGATGAAAATGGATGATAAATGCACTTTTCATTGGAGAAAATATGGAGTCATGTGATGTGCACATGTCCTGAAAGTGGATACAAAATATCTACTCTGAGATAGCTTTTAACAACTAAATGGGTGTCTCATGGGGGTTTAGAACGTATCTAAAATCACGTTTTAGATGAGATGTCAACAACCGCTTAAAAATAACTGCATTTACTATGTACAGATAAGTGCACATGTATTATTTTTATTGTTATTTAATTCTAACATTATAACATGACAACCCTCTACGGACACCTTGGCAATTGAATCGCCATTGGCTAGTACATTTTTTTGTTTAC